CATTACAGAAATGTAGTGGAGTAGAAAGTACAGATACTTAATGTAAAATGCAGTGGAGTAAAAGTCAAAAGTACCCATGATGAAATCTACTTAAGTAAAGTACAAATACATGAAAAATGTACATAAGTACAGCAAGAAAGTACTTGCACTTAGTTACATCACCACTGCTTAAAAGGAACATCTCCTGGGAAGAAAGGAGACATATCTCACTTTTAAATCCTTCTTCACTGTTAAATCATTCATTTGGGGTTTACTAGAACTGCAATGCTTTGGTCTGAATTCCTACTTATAGTAGCTCCACAAGCCCCTCCCCATTTCTGAWGTGTGTCTCAGATCAACTCATTTTGAGGCTGTCTCTTTAAATCCAKATGAGGCAATTCACACCTATTCTAGTTTGATAGAGGGCTTTATGACTATATCGTGGCACAGAAACTTTTTATTTACAAATTAATTAAAAGATGAGTTTAATGTTGTCTGTTTCTCTGTATTGTAACCGTTCTGACCACTGTTTACTGCAGGTAAGATACTGACTCCATACACCACAATAAAAAAAACAACTAACCATTGTCAGGGGACTTAACTGCACTCAGAAGTGTGATAAAAAGTYTCTACATTTATCTATTTTAGTTTCCTTTAACCAAAATTAGACACACATCAGTGAATATAAAACATTCGATCATTGATGAGTATCTGAAACGAGAGGGAAAAGTTTTCCCATAATTCCATGCATGTCCTCCCAGTCCAATGAAAGACAGTAACAATTTGAATGAGATTTGTGTTCAGGTTATAAATGACTTGATGTTTCCAAAGTAACAGCTCCACTGACAAACAAGTCAAGTCAAAGGTTTGGGAAAAAAATTCTTAAGTAAAATAGCAAAGAATGTGGAAATATCACCGTTCGTGAACATAAAATCATTTAAAAATCATTTTATGGGTGGAAATTAGCTTAAAACAAGTCAGAGACTGATACAAAGTTAAAKGTTTACTGAGCTCAAATTAGAGAAAACATACTGCTGCCAGTATGTTTTTATTTAACCTGAACATCAGCTATTTGTGATGAGCTGAATTTAAAAAAAAAAACACTAAATTAAAAGTTTCATTTTGGACATMATGGACTACAGAGCTGTGTGCCTGTCAAGCTCTTTATAACAGAAAACAGCTCAAAGGTCAAAGTGTATGACTGAACCATTTATTAAGCACCAATAATAGTGAGATAAAGACGATGTCATAGAGGAAAGACTTGTATTTAGCAACATCTGTGGTAAAAAACATCACTTTCACAACTTTCAAAACTACATCAGTTACTTCCTCTGCTCCTCAGATTCAGTATTAGAAATGTTGTTCTTGCACAGTTCTTTCTTCTTTAGTTATAAGTTTTAAATTAATTTAGAGTAGAATCGAGCTCTACGGTGATCAAAAAGAAAGGGTCTTAAAAAGACTAAGGTGTGATTAATGTACGTTTTTATTTGTTCCATCTTTTGGCAACTTTAGTTTAATGATAAATATTTATATGTTTTCTCCATGTCATTAATTTAGTGGATGAACAGTATTTATAGGTTACAAGCTTATATCCATCCATCCATCCATCCATCCATCCATCCATCCATCCATCCATCCATCTGTTCATCCATCCACCCAACTGTTCATCCATCATCCATCCATCTGTCCATCATCCATCCATCCAGCCATCATCCATCTGTTCATCCATCCATCCATCCATCCATCCATCCATCCATCCATCTGTTCATCCATCCACCCAAC